CAAAAAGTGGAAGCTATTTCTTAGATTACACTTGAAATTTAAATTTTCAAGAATATCTAGGCTGATCTACTTACTCGTCAAGCTTTCTGAACAGTTCAGTTGTACTTGTCACAATTTCATGCTAGTGTTTCAAAAACGTATTGTACAGTTACCAATGAACCTACCTATTTTTAGATTGACTGAGAGCATTACAAAATAGACAAAATGTAATCCATTTTTTATCTAGGTCTCAGTAAAATACTATGGCAAATAAGATTATCACATAATTGCAGAATAATGCTTGGTTATTAATGAATTACGCATGACGTCATCATAAAATTTAGTTTTGACTGAATTATTGGCTTTGTACAGCAATCGAAGTTGAACGATAGTGAAAGTATTTCATTTGATTAGCTTATATGAAGCACTTTTAGTCAACCGAGGACTGATGATTTACTGAATCAAGTATTTTTTGTTTTAATGTTCTTTAATGCTTTTTCTCAAAATCGCATACGCTGAAGAATACTGCTAAACAGTCATGGTAAGATGGTAATTTAGTGATTGTTTAAGACTTTACAACTATAAATGTTCATGACCTTATGTCAGATTGAACCTCAAAACGTTAGGTTTTACCGATGCGATGGATATATGAAATATTTGACATGTTCTATCAGTAATTCTCAGAGCATGAACCATTCAGAATAATCAAAATGTTCTCGCCATTTCTGTAAGTATGTAGTCCTTAATAATGTAAAGTTAGTTGTGAGATGGTGGAGAAAATTGGTAGCTTAGATGGATGATTGTGATGGTGCTTCGTTCATCGAACTAGCTCAGAGAACGAAACACCACCACACTGATAGTTGTTATTGTAAATATATAATTTACACATGTTTGATTGTTCTCTTTTAGTTATGAATCAAATCATTTCTGTTTTGAAGCTGATTTCTATGTTGAAACCGCCAAAATGTCAATGGTGGAAATTCTCATCTCCATACAAGTTAGCAAGTCAATCAATTTTGAGATAACAGGAAGTTCTCTTTAACATTTAACAAATAAAAGAACAAATTTATTGTAATTTTCTAGTAACAAATGGTTTTACTTAAAAATATATATCTTAGGAATATAGCAAAGGTAAGGTTTAAAAAAACACCGGAATCATCACTGTAAAATCAACTGATAACATTTACGAAATCAGTGATATGATTCTTTGGTAGAAAAGTGAAATGCTTAGTGAATGACATTCACACACAATCACTGGTTAAAAAATAGTTTCACATCAACTATTAAAGTGTAATCGATTTGTCTTGGTATGATAAATGTTTACTTTCAATTTGTTTAGTGGATTAACGGGAAATTGAGGATGTATTGATGAACGAACGTGAACATTTATGCAAGCTCACTATATTGATGACATTCTTATAACGTATCATACTACTGACACAAAATATTTTATGGTTTGGACGCTTTAATTTTCCAATTATTAAAGGCTTTTGTTCTTGTATGACATGAGAAATTTCATTATTTCTGTTGAATGTGATATTTTTATGAATCTTCTATAACCTAATACGCCTATCGCACATACGCTGTCTGAAAGCGATTATACTGACAAACCAGATTCGAGTGGAGGAAGAAATAAGGATGGAGCGGTGGAAGTGGATAGGACACACACTACGAAAAGCACCTAACTGCGTCACAAGACAAGCCCTCACATGGAACCCTCAAGGCAAAAGGAAAAGACGAAGGCCAAAGAACATATTACTCCGAGAACTATAGAAAGACATGAGAAGAATGAACAAAAACTGGAAAGAACTAGAAAGGGAAGCCTAGGACAGAGTTGGTTGGAGAAAACTGGTGGGCGGCTTATGCTCCATTGGGGGTAACAGGCGTAAGTAAGCAAGTAAGAAGTTAAAAGCTGAAGCTGGCTTTAAACGGTAACTGTCAACGAGTTAGTGCTCAGAAATCCTACTAAGAAAAACTTCTAACAACTATATCACGTATGTCGTCGGCTATGAACTATCGGATTTCGTATGTATTGTACTGAAGTATGTTATTACACTGTTCTCATACAGGTTGTTTGTTACACAAGCAAAATATTTACATTCTCATGCTTCTGAAAGCAGACTAGTTACAAGTATTAACAGTTCACTCAAACCAACTTTAACTATTGTATACAGAATGCTGGTGAAGCTTTCATTGTGTATTTTAACATTTGATTACTTAGAATATCTGGCTATAACAATCAACAATTTCCTGTCTAACATGTTCAAAAGTAGATTATTTGTTCAAATTCTCCTCACCTAAATATAATTTTAAGTTTAATCAAGAAGTTTCATGCAAAATGTTTCGGGTTAGCCATTAATAGGTAGGTATAAAAGAATCAATATTTTCCACTTTTCTTTTCAAGAAATAACAAAGTGGTTGTGAAGAGAAATTGCTTATTCGTTTCTAAGCTTAGTTTACTCAAACATATGAAACTTATGTAAATTGAATGGAGGAATGTACCTAAAGACATGAGCATGTTCTTTTAATGATTGATTATTTTACACAATAGAATTATTCAAGGAAATACAAATTATTTTGTTTCGTTTCAACTTCAATGAATTTGTTGCATAGCTCTATTGTCATACAATATCAATAGTGGGTAGCTAATTCACTCTCATCATGTATTTATAAAGAGCAGAGTTCGTCCATAATCTGTTGGTGAAATTTAACATTTCTGACAGGAATACGTTTTTGTTTATCGAATGTTTTGTCAATGTTTTATGTTCGTCACTAGGTATGCTTGAAGCTATTACGAGTTCACCTTAGTTGATAAACGCGAACGAGACAATGAACCAGCGTCCAGGTAGGCTACCTTGAATCCCAAGCTGTATAACAGAAGTCTTGGTAAGCGTAGAAAGTATATTCTACAAACACCCAGTAATCACAATACAATCAAGCACACAACTCTCGTTTATTTATACATCATAGAAACGTCCTTGGGACAGTTACGAAAATAGCACACTAAAATACAATCACAGCCATGAACATTCCTGGTGAGAAATGAAATCTCAAGGTCAATTAATCAGCCCATGCTCGCAAACGTGAAATCCAAAATAAGGCATTTATCAAACGAGTTCTGGGGATCTAACATCCCCAACACAATGAAGAAGAGACTCGATACTTAGAAGTTACCACAGACCATTTCCTTTCAATTATTAAGTCTAATTTATATTTTAAGGTTAAAAATTTAACGATCTTGAATGTAGCTAATATAATAAGCAAGTATTTAAGCGATTCTAATATGAGTAACGTGAAACTGAATTTTTTCAATCTTCTGTGACATATGATCTCTTTATAAGTGGGGCTTATTCAATTGGTCATATCTGTTGATTATAGATTTAGCAAATACTAATTCATTCAATGTATACCAATATACGAAGTGCTAAGTCAGTTAAGTATTCCACTGATAAAACATTATCAACTTAAAAGTAGTAATTTTTATTTATATATATATATATATGCTGTTTACTAATAACGACCCGGTAATTGATTGAGTTAAGGAAAGGAAGTGAATTGAAAACACTCTGTTTGATGATCTATATTTGTACAGTTTGGAACAAAGCCAGAAAAGGCGTAAAACGATCGCTTTCCAAGTACACAAATCAATAACACAGGTTTCATAAATTCCAAACTAATGAGAATTAATATTTGTATACCGTTTAGTATCCTTTTACATGGAGCTCTAAAAATGAAGTTGAATAACAAAATCCTTGAATAACTGTTTTTACAGCATTGTTAAGGTTCATTAAATAAGGATTGCAATGATCGCCATCAAGTCTCCCTCTATTCAGTATTCCAACTTATACATATATCTATTCAATAAACAAATAAATAGTTTTCCCGGTAGTAAATAATTCTTCGACTTATTTATCTTGTGGAGTTCATCAGAACCATCTTCTTTCTATCGCATAAAATCCAACAATAAGTGATTCCCAGGAATCGGACAAAGATAAGTAATAAGTAATAAATCAATAAATAACTAGATTTTTTGTATACGAATTAAAAGAGACGGATAAACGTATTTTTTTTTTAAAGAAAATAAAAAGAAATCATAACAGACACTAGTAAGCATCAGAAGTATTTATTCATTTATTGACTTTTAACAATAAGAATTATAATATTCAAATAAATTTTTTCGTGAATATTCATAAAACTTATACGGTTACTAATCTTTCATATTGTGTAGTGTTAATATTTTTTTTTATTATTAATTATTATTATTATTCTAAATTGTAGTGCGTAGTGTGTATGCACAAAATTAATTAATGGTTGCATTGCGAAATTACATGATCACTGATAGTTATTTCAAATGATCCAAATAAATATGTTTGTTTGTTTTTTTTTGTTTGTCAACGTTAATTTAAAAATATTTTTTTTTATTATAACTAATGACAGCGATTAGTATTATTATTACTTATTATAAATAGAAGAAAAGAATGATAAAGATAAGCTAATTAACTAAGTGAGGACTATCAGCTAGTTAGTTATGTTATTGAAGAAAGTAGACAACATGCAGAATTCATGCAAATGACTAGCTTTAAAGATCAAATCAAACAGTATAATAATTTGTTTATACAAAGTTATTTTAGAAATAGAACAATGGAAGATAAGTTTAAACACATTTGATCACGTTGAATGGTAATTGTTTGAAAAAGTGACACGATCAAAATGGTTTCCTGTTGGCAAAAAATTATGTAGTTAGTTTGGTTGGTTTGACTTCTAAAATTATTATTATTATCATTATTATTATTATGAGTAATATATATTTAAAATAAATAAGTTTTCTTTTTAATTCTTTGAATTTAAGCAAAAAACAAACTTACATGTTTTATTATAACTACAAGCGTCATAATGATTAGAATAGTTAGTTATATGAAAGACGAAAATAATAATAATGATAATAATAATAATAACGATATATATATTTTTTTCTATGATTAACTTTATGATTTCTTTTTTTTTCAACAAAAAACAAAGCTTTAAATATAACGTAGAGAAAATGATTTATCAGCTGTACTAGCATATTTCTTGTATACTTTATTGGTTGTTTGATGTTGATCAGTGTCATCTTCATCATTATAATCATCATTGTATTCAGTAAAATGCCTAATATTTTCCGGTCTTTTATAATGTGCAATAAACATATAAATATCACCATGATCAGCAATACGATTACCATGATGAGGGCTTGTTGCAACATAACGAAAATCTACCGCGGATAAATCATTCACATTGATATTTTCGGTTAATTTTGCAAATGTTTTATCTTTTTGTTTTAATTCATTGAATTTTATCTTTAAACTATTTTTATCATCATCCTCATCATTATCATTATCATGATCATCATTTTCACTAACACTGTTGTCTTTCTGATTAGCGTGAATTCGTTCAGTATTGATTTTTGATACTGGTGACGCTTTGACATAATTCACTGTTTCAGCACTTTCTATCGGTGTATCATATGTGGCCAATTCACTGTTGATCATATTTGATTCATAGAGATTTTCACTATGATTATGTATAATCACATCATCTTTATCAAGAATATCATTTTGAAGTGTTTCATCTTCATTATCATTGATGTTTTGTTGATTTTCTGGCATATGATTATCCTGAAGTAATAAATTATTAATACTAGCATTAGTTACATGATCATTAGTTGTTTGTTGTAAATTCTCCGTAGATATTTCATTATTTGGATTAAATGTTATAATCTCTTCAGTAGATAAATTATTTTGTGAAAGATGTTCATTTGATACATTTAAACTAGAATGTGATGAATAGACGACACCTGGTGTTGGTAAAGTTGTATCATCTTCATTGAGTATATAATCAGAATGACTTCGAGCTTTATTGATTAGTGTAGTAATATCTTTATAATGGGATTCAGGTAATTTGAAAAAATCATAATAACGATTATGTTGTTCATGATCAACACAGCCTAAGATAAGTATTGTAGGATCATTATCAAATACATAATATCGTTCAATATCTTTATATGAATAAAATTTTCTTAACGGTGGTGGACCGAATTTCGATGCACGTTTTAATCGTATCCCATCTGGTTCACAGCGTAGTTTACTATGTGCTAATGATTTACGCGATTTCAATGATAATAATAATGTATGTACGTGATTATGATTGAATTCATCACCGGTGATAGTTTTTCGTGCTATTAAATCTGCGGTGGATTCAAAATAACGTAGGCGTTTACGACGTCCACATGATTTTATTTTATGTGTAGATGGCATTCCATATAATTAGTTATGAATTCAAACCGAAATTAATTTTTGTGCGTCAAGAAGAATTATGGCGGAAAACGATCGAACCAGGAAGATCGATTGAAGTGTAAACTAGTTTAAAACATGAATTTTTTTAGTTGAAACAAATGAGATTTATCCGATAGAAAAATTTGTTTGCTTTGAATTTTCTCTTTATCTTATTGAATTAACTCTTTAACAGATGATACATCAACTCTGATCACAACAGAATTATCAATGAGTGTTTTATTATATATATATATATCGTACTAAAACTGAATTATTTGAGAACGAATCAGGACATATGAACTAATACAATTGGTTGTTTGGATGCAACCAGAAAAAAACCCAGCCAAATATTACACTTTGTGTGTTACTTAAATATTAGATAACCAATAGAAACGAATCTACTAAGTACTGATTCAAAACAAAAAAAACCAGAAAGAACTGAATCAAATTACAACACTCCATTTTTGATCATTGCATTAATAAATTGGTGAATTTTCAGACAAGTTCTCCAATTGAAGTAAAATCAATATCTTCGGTGTACTTTATTTCTATTCTATTTCTTTTTGTATTAAGTGTAAGACTGCAACTTCAAAAAGTTTATTTCACTGAATGAACAGAGTGCAAACTCTTAACCAAAATGAAGATAAAATCAATGAAAGTATGTGAGCCATAGAAAATATTTCAGTTTGAATAAAAGAAGTCTATTTTCATAGAGTGAATACTTCGTTCGATCGTTTATTAATGAGAAATAATGCATGATTTGAAGGTATATGGATTACATTTTCATGAATGTAATCTGTTGTTAAATATAAACACATAAAAGCTTTTTATTCATGAGATAAACATAAATTCATATACTTTGTGATCGGTAAAAATTCATGAATTTTTTTAACTAGCAATTTAAATCATAGTTAAACAAACTTTAAAATATAAACTTTACACACATACATTTTGAAGCGAAATTAGGTAGTGATTAATTGTACAATCTAAAACCAAGTGTTTCATTTAATTTGTGATTTCTCAGTGGAATGCATTTTCACCATCATGTTAATTTTTACACAGCAACTCGAAGCCAGTGTTGTTGTTTGCCTAAAGACTTTAATATGTTATCCATTGAGTTACTGAGTCCAGAGATCTGTTAGTCTGAGATATTTGAGAACGTATTAAATAAGACAGAAACTGCGTCCTGAATCCAAAACTTCGGTGTGCATGTTACTTTACAGTAATTTGGAGGCATTTCACTCAGGATGCCCATATACCAAACTGAGAATAATTAACTCTAGTTCTAAACGTTAACAACTGAAAAATCTCATCCAACACAGATAGATTACTTTCTGAATAAGTGTGAAATTTCTACAGACTGGAGAAGTGATATTTGAAGTTGCATCCTATTTTAGTCATTCATAAAGAAAATGTTTTTTGGAATAGAATCTGTTTTAGTATAGTAATTGTTCAATGTTTCTCAGAGTTTTCATTTATGGTTATCGATAGTTGCATGAAGCCTGAAGATAAGAACTGATTAGAGGTACTCAAATAGGACGAGACTTTCGTTCGATATTTCATGGTTTTTATTGTTTATTTCAATTTTCACTTGCACACTTTCTAAATTGGTTAATTCTATTTATTCCTGTAACTGAAATCGTAAATTGAAGTTAGTTAAAGGTTAAGTGTTCGCATGCGTGACCAAAGGTCCTAGGTTCAATCCCCTTCTATGCGGGTCATGGGGCGCATTGATGCGGACTTCCATATTAGGATGAAACAGCCATATAATGGCCTCCTGGTTTCTAATGGTGGTCTGGCTAAGATCAATTTGTGTTGCCAGTTATGAAAAAAAAATCCGTTTTGTTAATATATATTTCATGAAACTTATCTAAATAGTATGTGGTTGACAATATCTAGATGAGTACGAATTAATATTTCGTCACTGTTGAGTTCCATATTATATCAATAAATAGAAACAAATCGCTGACGATCCAAGTTAAAACTGAAAATCACAATATAATAAATAACTCGGTATTCTTGAATTTCAAGTAATAAGATCTAATAGATAGTGAAACTGAAAGTTTAAGATGGGCCTGAATTATCTGGTTTTAAATTTCACAAGGAACTAATAGTCAAACGTAAGGATATATTAAGTTTGAATAGAGAAATAAGAAGACATAGTTTGTGAGATAGTACCATTTCGTGCTTTCTCGTCAGTCACATACAAGCAACATGTTATTTGTGTAAATACAGTTTTGAAGATAAGGTCAAAATTTCTTATTTAGCATGACATTCACTCACTAGAACCATGGTAAACAAAGGTCAACATACAGTTGTTTTTGAACACATAAAGTTGGACTTTTACGACCAATCAAGATAGCTTCAAGTAGTTTCAGTGTGTGTGGGTTTTGATTACATGTCACAACTCTAAAGGCTGATTTTGGATCAATTTGATGACCACTCATCATTAGATGTTTTGCAATGGACGAGGCTGGGTTTCTTGATCGATTTTGAAATGATGGGCTAGGTTGATTAATCATGGATTTGATTAACCATTTTGGAATATGTTCCCCTATCCTGTCTTCCAATCGGCGATCTGTCCTCCCTAAGTAACTTTCTCCGCAGTTACATGTGAATTGGTAAATACAGTGGGATTTGGACTGAATCGGTCTTGGAGACTTGATTGGGGTAACTCAGATCGATTGGGTTGTTGTGATAAGCCTCAGATTAGCTGCATTGAAGGTCTTTTTTATTGCAGCTGCAGTCTGTTTGGTTGTAATTTTCATGCAATGATCACCTTTGAAAGGTAACTGTAGGTACACTGGTTTCTTGGGCAAATCAGTTGCTATCAGCTTCGTCATAGTTGTGTTCTGATGACCAATAAACGTTTCGGGATATCCGTTTGATTTAAGTGTGTCAGTAATAAGCTTGAATTCGTCGTTCAATGTATCAGCAGTGCAGATTCTACTTGCTCGAGCGAATAAACTTTTGACAACAGAACGTTTATATTGTATGGGGCAGAAACTAGTGAAGTGGAGGTACTGTCCCGACCAGGTGGGTTTGCGGTGTACTTTTCGCCTGATTGATCCGTCTGGACGGCGATGGAGAAAGCACGAAATGGTACTATCTCACAAAATATGTCTTCTTATTTCTCTATTCAAATTTATCAAAGGGAACCACTGTTTTGGATATATTAAGTGTTTAGTTTAATTTGGTCTAAACAGCGATGCTTGTACTGGCATTATTAAGTAGTTTGAACTAAACAGAAATGGAAATGATGCATCTCTATAACATATGTGTTATTTATGCACAACAATTCACCATTGCTACACTATACTAATTTGAAACTGATTACAACGCAAAGTTAAATTGACGTCGTTTAGAAATTTACCGCCAATGATTATGTTTCGGATTGATTTTCAAAGGATATGTTAGAAATCTTTACTTTCTGGAATCAATTAAACTGGAAGTAACCCATCTACAAAATAAAATCATAGTTATCCTATATCACTAATTAACTGTAGTTGTTTACGACAGTCGATACATACCTATTATTTTGTTAAATTATATACTATTCATAATATCATGTGAGGTTACGAATACATCGAAATGTGTTTTACTGAGTTAGAACAGGATAGATCTATCTATTCTACACAATATGTGACAAAATGAATACAAGGCACAAATCATCACACGATTCTCATGCCCCAAAAAATACTGATCGGAATTTTAGCGCTAAATATTGACATTAAAGTGTTCAAACTTTTAGCAATAGTGATAGAAGCATTACACTCATTAATGTCTCATTGAACTTAATGGCACAGTTGTTTGAAGTAAAGTGTACTAGTTTCAAATTTCTCAGTGAACTTTAACGCTTGAAGTCAGGTAGTTGCAGGTAATTGCATTACGGCGTTGTGAAGATTGTTTAGTTACACATCATTTAAACCATGAATCGATCAATGTTAGACCAACATTAGAAACCAGTCTGTGACGAAAACAATATTTGTAAGATATTAGTAAACAAAACTCTTCAATTCCTATCCTCTGTATTTAATTTTTACTAAAAATAAAAAATAGCTGACATAATCTTTAATATGGTCTTTTGTCTGTGTGTATGTTGACTACGTTTTATATAAGACGTTACATCACGTAGTGAACTATTTCATCAGTGCTATATTTAATAGTGTCTGATTTAAGATTGTTATTTAAATATAGTAAATTCACATTACCACATTATTCACTCAGCATCTTATGACCTTTAAATAATTTTTTTTCTGAATTAAATTTTGCCAAAAACTGTTTAATTAAATTGTTTCAATCTACCTATTTAAGTCATTTAATGTATAAAGTAGATAAAACTAAATTGATTGTGTCTTAATGAGCATACATTATTGCAGTCTGCTGATGGGTGAGAACATATCACTAATAAAGTCTGGTTAAAGGTCATTGTATAGGTCTCATCAATGGCAACATTTAAACGCCTACAAATAGATGAAAATAATGTGATTTATAAATAACACTATAAATTACACTATTATAAAACTGAGCCTACAGTGACAAAGTTCGTTATGAAATTTTCAATTTAATGTTTATGTATTTTCTATCTTCATTAAAATACAAGATGTTCAGATTTATATATATATATATATATATATAATATAATATAAAAATAGATGACTACATTTTTGATTTCAAACCTATGGAATGTGCATTAAAAATGTCAGTCAGTCAGCCAGATGCAACGTAGATCTTCGTACGTAAGTACATCAGTTCATGTTGCCATAAAAACTTATCACAGAGATGTAATTGTCAATTCAAATCCAATAGTAGAAGAGGTAGTCGAGGCATTAGAAGTAATCGGAGAGGTTAGGATTAGAAGCTATTATTCAAGAAGTATGATTCAGTGAGATAAGTTTAGGAAGACAAAACTAGAGGTGTTGAAGAACTCAGAAGATTAGGATTTGAGAGAACACAAAGAATAAATGCACTGGCGCTATTGC